AATGTCTACTGTTTAATCGTGACATTGTTCCAAATTCATTTAGATGCCAAAGTGATGCATATTTTGGGATACCTTTGTGGTTAATTTATAAAATGTATAGTTAAAAAGTTGTGCATCCTATAAAATGTATGATGAAAATTAACAGTTGATTTTGACTTAAACTTTAATCAATTTTTTTTAGCGAAAATGAATAGAGGCTTAATCCTATTATTGATTTAAACTTTAATCAATTTTTTCGCACAATTTTTTTGTCTTTTTTTTTTTATTTGCTTGTCACTACCAAATAACGTGGCTTTCGTGAATATATGTTACTTCTGGAGTCACGAGCGTACTCGTATAGTGATGTAACGATGTTAATTGCTCTTTTATGTTTTACTTTTACAGTGGTCCAAAACATGTTTTTCAACTATTATTTGTTTTGTATATATAACTTAAACTAAGCGAAATTTTAGTATGTAATTTGGCCTCTATAGTATTGAAATATTACATACCGTATTCACTAAGAAAAATTCCTTAAAGAGTTCAAAGTTCTTAAATAACATTAGGAAATTTCCTTTAGATATAGTAAAAGATCATTTGATTCTTTTAATGTGAGTCAAAACTTAACCGATCTGATTTTGATTTTGTGTTTATATGAAGTGTTGTGGACTGCTAAGTGGTCCGACTTCAAACTCGCATAACTTTTGATATAGCTTTGAGTCACAATCCATAAAGTGCGCTAAACTACAAATTAAATGAGTTTTCCAGATGGCGTGCTCAAAAGTTCACTAGGTTTTCCGTTCAACCTTCTTTTTGCTTCTTCCTTTCTTTCCCAACTTATTCTAGCAATTGCATATTAATAGATAACTTGATATTTGTGCAAAATACCCACCGAGCATGCTGAATTGATCTTTTCGTTCAAATTGAGCTATAGCCGAAGGTAAAAATCGGACAGAGAACAGAGAAAGAAAAGAAATTCAACTTCATAAAGAACTTGAAGGAATGAAGAAATCTGTTTTAGGGTGATGGGTTTATTAATGTAACCGGGTAATTGCAGCAGCCCAGCAGCAGCCCATTTCATTGATAAGGTCCAGCCTAGTTTTAGAATAAATAAGATACATCGTGTTTTGTCCTTTCACGTTTTTCATCTCACGTTTTTATTCCTTAGTCTGTTTTTAGTTGTTAATCTGTTTTTCTCTTCATCTATATATGATGGAGTTTTGAGCCATTGTAGTTGTGTTCTTCGAACGATAAATATAGAAATTATCTTCTTGCCTTTTGTTCA